ATGGAGCAGTAACAAAGTCTCTCTCCCTAGGGGGTTGAATACAAACCCTCTCCATAACCAGTCAGGCACGATGAAAAGAGAGGGGGCGATAAAAGCGGGGCGGGCATTTTTTCTCATCATGACATGACAACCAATGTTCCCTCAAATGTTTTTGGGCACTGAGCTAATTTTAGGTCTTGTGAGCGGGAACTTGAACATTGTGAGAATTTTGTGCAACTTTTACATTGAACTCTGAGGCTGTACCCTTACAGTTTTAGACAGTAGCCAATGGCTATTGTGGCTATTTGAGAATAATGTATGCCTACCAACAAAACCAATGGAGCAAATCCCATAACATTTTCACATAGAAATAGGTTTTGATTTATATGATACAGCCTACCGTAGCCATATGTGGTGTTCAATGCAGGCCTAAATTGCATGAGACTTAAAAAAAAAGATTTAGCATTATGAAGGGCTTGATATTCATTAATTATTTTTGACTTGGTCTGTAACACCATGGGCCAAATAGGTGACTGTAAATTGCATTGTATTGTGTTGTATGATGCAAGAATATTCAAGCCTGTCTCAAAACACAATACTGCCCCTTTAATTAAGACGTAAGCTTTTTATCTGACTGGCTTTTCAAAGACAGCTTGAAATGTTATGGAACGCCGTTTGGGTCTTTGCGTGTCAAAAAAGATACACGTCAAATAACACTATTTGACGCGTCGACGCGTCAAATAAGCTTTTAATTTTACACGTCAAATAATACAATTATATTATAGAATGTTGTGTGTGCTGAATTTGCACGTGCATGCCAAGCGCCACCACTACGATCAGCAGCACTGTCAAAGCTGTACAAAACAAAGTCTGCAAACAAGCACACACCGGCCACGAACGATGTGTTTACAATACCACGTTGGTAATAAGGCATTATTTGTTCGACTGAATAGGATAACGTCTGTGTGAGCATTTGAAATAAAATCAGGATCAAACAAGCAGGATAAAAAATGTTTGCAAATATCTTTCATACAGATGTTTTAGCAACTTCTGGGGTAGCTAACTAGCTATAGCTTGGTAACGTTACCTAGCTAGCACTAATGCAACTAGCCTGAAAACAATGACCAATAGAAACTGCAGTCATTTTCAATATTCTTAGCAATGATTTAGGAATCCATGTGAGTAAGTATTATCTAGGTAGCCACTTGAAATTGAACTTCAGTTCATGAAAATAACTAGCTAGCCAGCTACTTAACCCTGTTGCCCAAAGCTAACGTTATAAAATGCCAGTAAACGTCATCTTTCTGGTGATGCTTGACCTGACCGGGTTATGTGTTGTGAAAATAGCCACAATAAGGATTAGCCACAATAGTGGAATTAGCGGTCCGCCTTCAAAATAAAAGTACCACTTTAAAAGTGACGCAGAAGGTTACAATTGGTGGAATCATTCAATATTTAGACTAGATAATGTTAAACAAGGTTGGAAAGTGGAGAAACGAAATGGGGTATCAGTCTACTCGGGGACACCCAAAGAACACAACTGTGAAGAGTTTACGCAAATATTAGCGTTGTAGCTCTTATCGCAGGACTGTGACTGTGTGAAATCACCTCCCCAGTCAGCCTATTGTGTGTACTGACATTCATATTACACTGTACAGCCTTACCTAAGGATTGGAGATCAATGAAATGGGGTATCAGTCTACTCAGTACCCAAGTGCTTTTTCCCCCAACGTCTTCCTCAGAGTTATCAGACTCCAAAACATCCACGTTGTATTGTTTTTCCTCTGGAATAGTGTTCAATACACATAGTAGGGTGACTGGTACAATAAATGTGGCTCAATTCACAGTGGTTTTAGAGTCCCGCAATAAGAGCTACAGTGAGGGAAAAAAGTATTTGATCCCCTGCTGATTTTGTACGTTTGCCCACTGACAAAGAAATGATCAGTCTATAATTTTAATGGTAGGTTTATTTGAACAGTGAGAGACAGAATAACAACAAAAAAATCCAGAAAAACACATGTCAAAAATGTTATAAATTGATTTGCATTTTAATGAGGGAAATAAGTATTTGACCCCCTCTCAATCAGAAAGATTTCTGGCTCCCAGGTGTCTTTTATACAGGTAACGAGCTGAGATTAGGAGCACACTCTTAAAGGGAGTGCTCCTAATCTCAGTTTGTTACCTGTATAAAAGACACCTGTCCACAGAAGCAATCAATCAATCAGATTCCAAACTCTCCACCATCGCCAAGACCAAAGAGCTCTCCAAGGATGTCAGGGACAAGATTGTAGACCTACACAAGGCTGGAATGGGCTACAAGAACATCGCCAAGCAGCTTGGTGAGAAGGTGACAACAGTTGGTTCGATTATTCGCAAATGGAAGAAACACAAAATAACTGTCAATATCCCTCGGCCTGGGGCTCCATGCAAGATCTCACCTCGTGGAGTTGCAATGATCATGAGAACGGTGAGGAATCAGCCCAGAACTACACAGGAGGATCTTGTCAATGATCTCAAGGAAGCTGGGACCATAGTCACCAAGAAAACAATTGGCAACACACTACGCCGTGAAGGACTGAAATCCTGCAGCGCCCGCAAGGTCCCCCTGCTCAAGAAAGCACATATACAGGGCCGTCTGAAGTTTGCCAATGAATATCTGAATGATTCAGAGGAGAACTAGGTGAAAGTGTTGTGGTCAGATGAGACCAAAATGGAGCTCTTTGGCATCAACTCAACTCGCCGTGTTTGGAGGAGGAGGAATACTGCCTATGACCCCAAGAACACCATCCCCACCGTCAAACATGGAGGTGGAAACATTATGCTTTGGGGGTGTTTTTCTGCTAAGGGGACAGGACAACTTCACCGCATCAAAGGGACGATGGACGGAGCCATGTACCATCAAATCTTGGGTGAGAACCTCCTTCCCTCAGCCAGGGCATTGAAAATGGGTCGTGGATGGGTATTCCAGCATGACAATGACCCAAAACACACGGCCAAGGCAACAAAGGAGTGGCTCAAGAAGAAGCACATTAAGGTCCTGGAGTGGCCTAGCCAGTCTCCAGACCTTAATCCCATAGAAAATCTGTGGGGGGAGCTGAAGATTTGAGTTGCCAAAAGTCAGCCTCGAAACCGTAATGACTTGGAGAAGATCTGCAAAGAGTAGTGGAACAAAATCCCTCCTGAGATGTGTGCAAACCTGGTGGCCAACTACAAGAAACGTCTAACCTCTGTGATTGCCAACAAGGGTTTTGCCACCAAGTACTAAGTCATGTTTTGCAGAGGGGTCAAATACTTATTTCCCTCATTAAAATGCAAATCAATTTCTAACATTTTTTACATGCGTTTTTCTGGATTTTGTTGTTGTTATTCTGTCTCTCACTGTTCAAATAAACCTACCATTAAAATTATAGACTGATCATTGTCAGTGGGCAAACGTACAAAATCAGCAGGGGATCAAATACTTTTTTCCCTCACTGTACGACGCTAATGTTCTACAAACAGACACCCATGTCATTGATCCACAATCCATAAGTAAGGCTGTACAGTAAAATAAGTATGCCCCCAATGCAATTCTGAAGTCTAATACATCCAGTGTGATTTCAACAGATTTTTGGCAAATTAACAACTTATTTTCTTTTGTTGAATTTATATAAACAACATTCAAACCTCGTTTAGCATGATCCATGGCATAATTCCACTATTTGTATTCATTTGCATCACTTTAGCTACTGAAACAGATTATGTCATTTTGCTATGTTTTTGGGGAAGAACATTGTTTGCATCCATCAGCTAGCTACCTTTTTTTATGAACATAACTGTCCAGAGCTTCGGGAAGGGCAGTTGCGCGGAGACAAAACTTTACCAGCTTCAGAGCATACGTATCGATGAATCGTTCTGACATATGAAATACGAGTGAGTGTAATCAATGTGTAATATCTACGTAAAATGTATGAACGTGTTAAATTGTTGTGACGTGCAGTCATATTCAGGTCTTGATTGGTCAACAAACTTTTTTGATGCGTCAAATAGTGTTATTTGAAGCATCAAATAGTGTTATTTGACGTGTATCTTTTTTGACACTCAAAGACCCAAACGGCGTTCCATAAAATGTAGCCTACACGTTTTGTGCTCTTGTAGGATGCAGCAACAACCATTGCTGACCTATACTTATCTATAATTGGGCTAATAACTCGCTAACTAGCAAAGAATATCAACAAATGTGCACATCTGAAAAGCGCATTAACTCGCGGGTGATTGAAAGACCACCAGTGGGCTACCCTGGCGGCAGGTAGCTTAGTGGGTAAGAGCGTTGTGCCAGTAACCGAAAGGTTGCTGGTTCTAATCCCCGAGCCAACTAGGTGAAAAATCTGTCGATGTGCCCTTGAGCAAGGCACTTAACCCTAATTGCTCCTGTAAGTCGCTCTGGATAAGAGCGTCTGCTAAATGACTAAAAAAAAAAAAAAAAAAAAAATATATATAATTCTACTCTGTTGCACTCTGGCTCTGCCTACAACAAAATAACAGACTCAATCTTGCAAAATTAGATTTGTTTTCGTTTGTTGCATTGAAAAGGGGCTGATATAATGTTGATTCGATCATAGAAAAAACGTTGATCTATATACAGTATTTAGTGCAAACTAATGTGGCAAACTCAGTGAAGTTCAATCTCTTGCGTCTCTGCATGGCATGGCATTTCTTCTGCGCTGAAGTCCCGGAGGAGGTGCGGGCACGCGCGCAGTTTACATTTTTCCATTTGAGTCATTTAGCAGACTCTCTTATCCAGAGCGACTTACAGTTAGTGAGTGCATACATTTTCATACTGGCCCACCGTGGGAAACGAACCCACAACCCTGGCGTTGCAAGTGCCATGCTCTACCAACTGAGCTACAACGAATGAAGGTGCAGTTGAGGCCTCCTCTATCATTTCGGATGTTACCAGACTAAGTAAGAACCCAGGCTCACCAGAACATTTAGTGCTTTTTTAAGGGAGCGAACCCCTTTATTTGGACCTTGGCTCCCCCTCATGTTCGCGAAGAGAAGTTGATGCTGGTCACCATCTTCTGGATCTTATCCTCATTCTTCAGGACGTTGGACTTGACGGCGCAGATCTTGTCCTGCTGCTCCTTGATCAGCTGCTCCAGCTCGGCTAGCTCGGCCTTCAGAGGCTCCACCGCGCTGTCTGTCACTCTGGAAATGACACACACCTCAACATGTGATGTCCGCCAAGTCCTGTGTGTGTGTGTGTGGGTGAATGTGTGAGTGTGTGTTGGTGGTTTTCTACATCTGTTGCTGCAGCAGGGCCTGTGCATGCCCCTTTTTCTCCCTCCTTCAGACTAAAGTGTGTAAAGTGTGTGTATGTTTGTATGTATGTGTCTATGTGTGTGTGTGTGTAGCCCTCTAACCTCTGTTCCTGCAGCAGGGCCTGTGCATGCTCCTTGTTCTCCCTCCTCCAGGTGTGTAGCTCGTTCTGCATGGCATCCATGTCCTCCTGGATGTAGTCCATGATCTTGCCCAGGGGCAGGGCGCTGCGGCACACCGTCTGGATGGACGTGCGTAGGCGTTCGATCTCCCTGGACACCAGGTCCCTCTCCTTCTTCCTGGCCGCTTCTGACACCAGGCTCTGTGTCTGGAGAGAGGGATGAAGGGAAGGAGGGATGGATGGAGAGAAGGAGTGATGGATGGAGCGGAGGAGGGATGGATGGAGTGATGGAGGAGGAGAAAAGCCAACAGAGATTATTACTACAACATAGAGTATGGTTACATGCACACAATAATGTTATTATTGTGGATAGATTAATATAATAGTTAGATTCAAAAGTTTACATGCTTTGCAAGAAGAACGATTTCCCTAATAATCCTGTTTACATGGACACATATGAAATAAGGCTACCTGATGGCACTCTGATAAATGCAGAAGCTCGCCAATCAAAATAAATGTTCTACCACAGCGCCCATGTTATTTTTAAATAATATAAATGCAACATTAAAGTGTTGGTCCCATGTTTCATAAAGTGAAATAAAATATCAAAGAAATGTTCCATACGCACAAAAAAGCTTATTTCTCTCAAGTTACGTGCACAAAATGTGTTTACATCCCTGTTAGTGAGCATATTTCCTTTGCCAAGATAATCCATCAACCTGACAGGTGTGGCACGTCAAGAAACTGATTAAACAGCATGATCACTACACAGGTGCACCTTGTGCTGGGGACAATAAAAGGCCACTCTAAAATGTGCAGTTTTGTCACACAACACAATGCCACAGAAGTCTCAATTTTTAAGGGAGCGTGCAATTGGCATGCTGACTGCAGGAATGTCCACCAGAGCTGTTGCCAGATAATTTAATGTTAAGTTCTCTACCAACGTCATTTTAGAGAATTTGGCAACCGCAGACCATGTGTATGGCGTCGGCATGGGTGAGCGGTTTACTGATGTCAACATTGTGAACGAGTGCCCCATGGTGGCGGTCGGGTTATGGTATGGACAGGCATAAGCTACGGACAACGAACACAATTGCATTTTATCGATGGCAATTTGAATGCACAAAAATACCGTTACTAGATCCTGAGGCCCATTGTGAGGCCACATTTTTTTTTTAAAGGTATCTGTGACCAACAGATGCATATCTGTATTCCCAGTCATGTGAAATCCATAGATTATGGCCTAATGAGTCTTTCAATTGACTAATATACTCATATGAACTGTAATCTTTGAAATTGTTGCATGTTGCATTTATATTTTTGTTCAGTAGATTTCTAAGACGCATACATTCATTTGTTTTTCCGAACTCACTTCACTCTCGCTAAAGAGGGAGGCTTGAACTACCGGTGCTGGCACATGCGCAGATCAAATACACAGCTGGAACGCCGATTAAGGTGTTTACATGTTCTAACAATTTCAACGATTGCTCAGAAAACCAGGTGTTTTAATTTGACTTTACACCGATTAAGATAAGCAGAGTAATGTGTTTACATGACAATTGCATAATCTGCCTACTACCACAATCAGTTTAATATCGAATTATTCCTGTATTCATAGAAAATCTGGATAATCTGGATTTTGGCTAGGGATAGGACAGTTTCAATTATATGTGAATGGAGTAGTGTTCGATAAACAGGAATTCTTGAATAATTCTGGAAAATTCACATCCATGAGAGATTGGGAGAAGGATGGCTGGAGGGATGGAGAGAACCAAAGAGAGATTGATGATGATCTTGGACTCTGAAGTATGTAGGGTGGCCGTGGAATGAGAGAAAACCCTGCTACTGCTTGATGTTTCCCAGTGTTTCTGAGGCCAAGTTAAGCAAGCCTTTATTGTCCCAGAAAAGGCAATTCATAGTGATACAATTATGGGCTGCAAAGCAACTCTTCATACCTTTTGGATGTCCATAATTAATTCTCTACCTCTTTGCCACTGCCGCACACCTGCAAAAGTGCACGCACATGCGCACACACACTGCTCTCAACTCTACCAGAGAGGCTACTTCAACCGAATCATATAAACATTAAGGAATTTTACACTGGCCAGCAAAAAGTATAAAATGCACGGAGCCAGGCTCAGGGCTGCATTTAGTGGTTTAGGATTTCAAGGCAAAAAAATGTTAGGCAGGAATTATACAAACCTAGGCTGTGTATATAAGGATCAAACGCGTGGCTGAATTGTGCTGGCTAATGTGGGGGGACTGGTTGAAGGCCTCCTCTGTATAGTATGTGGTTGGGGGGTCCTGCTCTGCTATGAACCAGCCACCCCACAGCCCTCAGCCTCAGGTTAGGAGGGGAGGAGGGCCTCCCCTTGGCACAGTGAAGGCCAGGGATGTTTACTCAGCTGGGTCTGCAGGCCGGTGTGTGTGTGGGACTGCAGACGCGCACACACACACTAGACGGCACCCACCCACACGCCTGTGGACTTAAACCCTTGTTTATTTTAGTAACAGGCTGTGGCAGTGAAGTTATTTTACTACAGTATTCAGTAACAACTACTACACTTATCGCCCTTTCAAGTTTAACTCTTGGGCCAATTTGTGTCATTCTGGCCTCCAGATGGAAACACCTGCTTTTACAGGGCCGGTGAAATACCACTCCCGCTACATGACAGCGTAAACTCCCCAACAACTTCCCCTTCAAAACAGACCAACTGTCATGTAGACTGGGTGTTAGGCCGGGTAGGTTAGCAAAACTTCACGTTGAATGCTATTACGAGCTAACGCAATAATTACAGCTTAGAAACACACTAAACTACATAGAATTTAACAATACAAAAAACACTTCAAACTTCAACGCTGCTGCTTTTCCTCTAGGAAACCAGCTAAAATGTCTGACAGCCCCATCCCCATCCCCCCTTTGTGGTTTGCAAAGTGTGCGAGGATTGAAATGTCTAATGGTCGTCCGCAATGTGGGTGGCTTTCCCCTCGGCCCCATGAACACGGCGGCTACACAAACAGGCCACGGCTCATTCGGCCCGCCGGCCGTGGTGGAGAACCGCGGAAGCCCAGCCGGGCTACGCTCTGTTTACTGTCCTCTTGCACAGCCTCACCCACTCGGAAATTCAGGAAAATAGAACAAAACGAAAACTAGTCCCTGGTCTGCTTGGTGCACTCTGTCCAGGCGAGCATAAATCAACCCTTTATAGGGGCGTCTAGTTGGGCTCAGCGCGCTGCCTTTTCTATTTTTCACCCCGACCCAAGAACAATATTATCTTTCTTTTTTTTTGGGGGGGGGGGGCAGGTTTTCCCATTAGCTCATCCAGCCCCGTTGGCCCTGGAGACCAGAGCCGGCGACCCTTCCTCGGAACAGGTGGCTCCCAGCAGAGACCTTGGAGCGTTGCGCATCAATTCCCTTTCTATCGGTCTCTCCTGGTTTTTACAAGGAGCCCCTAGTCAATCCATACAGGTAAGGGGTTGTCAGGGATATGTCATGTATTGCAATCTTGCTTTTCCTTGCACAAGAAAGTGTAAGGAAAAGTAACTACTCAGTCCCCTCTGGTTTCACATTGTAAACAATGTGTTGCTGAGTATATCAATCCAAATCTGAACTTTTGCAAGTGCCAGAATGTTTTATTGTTACGTCTTGTGGAAACTGGGTTTGATGGGCCTCTAGTCTCATGCCGGGGCTTTAGATCAAAACTCCACACAGACCTGCTGGCCTGGCTGCAGTGCAGGCTGCTAAGCTACAATGTGGAATTCATCCGAACCCTCTCATGCATAATTTGCTTAATGAGAAAATGCATGCAAAGCACATGATTTATGGAGGGGTAATAAGGAGCTGGTGAGACGGGGTTGGAGAATAACAGTCTTCAAAGTAAGGCTTTTGACAAGAAGAATGGGTTGCATGCGTGAAACCTGTTAGAGACCTACCAACCTCTTGGGCGTCATTAATTAAATAAACATTAACTTAGCCACTGCAGGACCGTTTCAGGGCGGAGTATCAGCTTTCATTATGATGTAATTAGCCACTTCATCAACCTCAATTATCAGGCGACAAATGTATAAACTGCACACAACAACGGTCTAACAACGAGTGGCATGACATACTTATGGTGTATTATGACAAATTACATTTCCAGTGACCGTGGTCAGGTGCACGCATGTTTCCTCCGATTGTCTGAGTACTACCATGGGTCTCAGTAGTCTCAACTGGATTTCCTCGTCTTGTATTATTTCCTTCACCCCCACTTTTATTTAAAAAATGAACAAGTTTCCTGGCTCTCTTGGGCTTGCGATATTGCTTTCAACCCATTCTCTTGAGTTTAGATCAGCACAGGCAAAGAAAAGGAGGCGAAAAGGAGAGACCTCATTGTGGACTTTTAAGACCAGGGGTGTAGTGCTGCCGGTGTGCAGAGGAACGTCGCTCCGCCACTTCTCAGAATGGTGCTTGTTTAATCAAGTTTAGATGAAAGTTGAATCAATATGTCTCACAATATCACTTAATGATTAATTAGTATTCTACATAAACCGAAAATAATAGCATAAATATTAGGCTACTGTTAGCCCAAAAACACCACATAATTCCTTATGACAATTTAGGATGATTGTTCTGAAATGTAGATTTTTTTTCTTCTCATGCAGCGAGAACTAAATATGCTTTGATTGAAACAAAACACAGGTGGCTGCGTAGCTTTTTAACTCCATCTGCTCGAACATTTTATTTGAACAGTTGTTAGGCTACTTACATTATTCAAGAAGATCGAAATGCATAATCTCATGAAACTGATTGTGATAAAATGATTGACATGCAGATGCAGCATGGACGTTTCCCCCATAAAACATGAAGAATGATCATTCACAATTGACAGTGATGATGGCCTAATTTATAATAATGTATGCCTAATTAGAATGTTGCATTGTATGTATATTAAAAAATGATATTATACAATGTCGGTACCAACTTGCGCTCAGGTACCTAAAAAAACAACACTACACCACTGTTTGAGACCCAACCACCTCCTGGCTACTGGCTCTAATTTGGAGACATGGTAGGATAGCCAAGGGTCCTGAAATGTGTCCCCAGAGAGGGTGTCAGAGGTGGGCCAAAAGGCTAGGTATTACACCATGACGATAAGTCCAGTGTTGTTCAGGGGTTTCCTCTTTTTCGGGTAAAGAAGACATCGTCCAAATGTCCAGCCAGATCATAAAAATAGCTAGGAGTCAGTGAGGTGAAGAGTGAGGCTAAGGGCAAGGGGGGTTACAGGATGTTAGGGTCAGTGTATATCCCCCTAAGAGGCCACAGCTGAGCTCCCCGCCCTGGACCCAGGAGTACAAGGGGGAACCTCACCTCCCACTAGAAAAGACTGTGGACAGAGAAAAGGACTTGATTAAATTATGTAGGCTACATCACAAAGGTTGAAGCTGATAAGACCTCAAGTTTTTAAGGTTATGGGGTTGGAATCGTTTGACGTGATCGAAGCGACTTGAGAAAAATAACACCTGCAACGACATGGTCTGCATTGGAGTCCAATCTCCGAGACTCAGAAAGGTATTTCTCAGAAACATTTTCCACTTCCAGTTGAATCTCAAAATGCTGCACTTGCAAAGGCAATATGGCTAATGGAATTCAGCCGGTTCATTTCCTTACGTTTCCACAAAAAAAGGTGAATGTTTACAAAGACACAGGCCTGGTGGGGAGAGGAGTATTTATTTTCCTGCCATTTCTGTAGAGTATTCTGGCATTTCTCCTCCGTGACTCTCACTCAACAGTCATCCATTTGTGTGCCACGTTTATTTATACATTGCAAACCTTCATCAAGGCTAATTTGATGGGGTAAGAAAAGGGAGAGGGTACAAAAACAATCTTATGAAAACGCAGCTGCTACGAGGGCCTGAGTCTGTCTAAATAAAAAGACGGCCTCCGAGAAGTATCCTAGAATAATATACAAGTGTTCTGCAAGGTCATAGGGAAGGTCGTCCCCATAAATATAGAGCAAATTCTTCTATGGTGCACTTTGTGTGGCGGGATATGGCAAAATACAAGTGCTTTAACTACTCCAAAAGCCCTTTTATTTACAGCAGTTCAGACATTTTCTGAAAAAGCATTGGCATTAACAATAGCAAAACTGATTCAGGGAGACGGGAAAAAAAAACATATATAGAGAAGTTATGACATGGAAAGAATGAAGGTCCTATTTCCCTAAAATTCATAAATGGGACCAAGTTAGGGTAATCCTAAATCAAAGAGTAAGAAAGTCATTCCTGATCAGGGTGTCTGATAAACGTCAGCATTTAAGAATTAATCATGGCCCGCTGTAATTTCAGACCTGTCACACCGGGGGACGGGGGAAGCTCAATATTTACATTTTTTAACCCTCCATGTTCCGCCGTGATTACAAGAGAGCAACTACTCTATTACACTGACTCTCAACCCTTTCATGTCAGGAAGGAAACCATTATAGTCCTTTTATACAGCTGACGAGGCAAGGCCAGCAATGTCGAGGGGGGGGGTTAGGTAGTGCATAGCGTAGCCTGTAAGAGTAGACATACCTTCCATTCAGACTGCAGTGCGCCCCAGCAACTCACAGCCCTCCATTAGATGCCCTATAATAAGGGGCCTGGAATCCCAAAAACTGATGAGGCTGCAATTAGGATAACCCTGTGGGCTGTGCTCAGGTTGCACCGGACAACCCGGGGGGGGGGGGGGGGGGGGAGTTGCTAGGGCGCACTGCAGTCCAAATGGAAGGTATGTCTACTCGACAAAGGGAAATTCAGTCGGATTATTTTGAAATAAAAACCACAAGGGCCACAGTGCAATCTGCAGTATTGGGGCGGGTGTATGGTGGGGGAGCCGTCCATCCGAAGGCCAGCTAGGAATGGGCGGCTCCATCTGCTCTGTCTGCTGTTGAGTCTCTATGAGCTAAACCCGTGTCGGAGTGGAACGCCGGACGGAGCCTGGCGCGCGCCA